AATGCACATTATTAGTTAAGTACTTTAATAAAGAATGAAAATCTCCATAAACACCATACTGTCTTTCTGAGCCATGCAGCCTTTCAGGAACAGTAACTCCCCAGCCGCTTGCTCATCAGCCATTGTAAAACTCCAGTGGCTAATCCTGTGCTGACAAGGCATAAAATCTAACAGGGCATTAAACATGCCCAGCAAGGCAACACCTAGTTAAAGGCACATCCAGGAAAAAGAAAAGGGCGCAGGAAAGGGTCTATCAGATCAGCACTCATCTCCTCGTACAAATATATTCTAGAGATGACATTCTGCGCTCAACATGGTCTATTGCCAGCTCTGCCCATGGCTGTCATGTCCATTCACCTCCAGCCTGAGCCATGCTCAGCTCCTTGCTGCTCAGGACATTGATTCTCCATAATAATGTTTTTCCAGGAATTCCCTTCGCAGAGTACAGCTTTCTCCACACGTGACAACAAATTGCATAACTACAGCATTTGACCTCCCAGTCTTGCTCCCACACGGCTTGAGGCGTCCACAATGTCAACGTAAGATTTATTGAAATACACAAGGTGAGGTTTACATTTATTCCTTACTCTGCTCAACTGAATAAAGGGGCAGATGGCAACTAGTTTCTGAAGCACAACACGTCCCAGACAGAAATTGCTGGGGAAAAGTAAAGATTCAGTTCTAACTACATAGGAAGCACAACCTGTACTCCTTCATGTAATGGTAAAGAAGTTACATTCATTATCTACACCTACCTATGTCTGAAGGAAACTTCCTGGCTCTAAATCAGCCAGCACCAAGGATGAAGCAGAAACAAGATTCAAAAACTGCTGTTTCCCACTGGTCTTTCTAAGGGACTCCAAGAGCCATAGTGAACAGTGGGGCTGCAATGCTGAGTTCCATCATGGAAGGGAGGAGAGGGCAGAGACTAAGATCTGTTCTGTGAGAACTTCATTTGGTCACCCTTAAGTTAGATTTGAAATTAGAGGGATTTTTTTTCTTGGTCCTTTGCCTTTTGTCTTAAAATCCTATCCTTACAGTTAAGCAAAAAATATGAGCAACCAGCAGCAGGAAACAGTCCTGAAGAAGGAAGGAAGCATCTATGCAAATATCTTGTAACTGCAGGGGACACAGAACCACAACATCATGATCTGAAGACTATACAAACTGCTTTTGCAAGAAGTTTGCTTATCATTTCATGAACCCTCTTCCTGGAGGAGGCCATCTCCTGTCTTATTTTCCACACACAGCTGCCTGCATGCAAATATAAATTAACTTCTGAAGCCTGTTTCTTGCTGCACACAAATATAAATGCAGTGTCTTCAATGAAGCAGGATGGGCTCAAGGCATTGTTTACAGAGTATGGTATTTGTCAAGTACCTGCAAGTTTTCCTGAGGAGCTGCAAATTCAGCCCATGCTAAAGAAGAGCCAATACTGAGTGTAAGCAGCTTCTAGCACAGCAAGAAGGACCTGCCAGCCCTAAGCAATGTTTCCCAGGGCATCTCATCTCACATTATTATTTCTGTGAAAAACAGGAAGATGACATGGTGTACTCAGGAGCAGAAAACAATCACCTGAGAGTAATCAGTGAGTAATAAACAAACTTTCAAAGCAGCAGCACAGAGAGCCTTGGGGGAGGGAAAGGGAAGCCATGAAGTGGTCCCGGCACTAACACAGGATGTAACCTGGGCAGCAAAGTGCTCCTGTAGGCCATACTGAGGAGCCTGCTCAGAAGGCTCACTAAGAATGGAGCAGATGTATGGTGCTGCGCAATCGGGAGATCACGCTCATTAGGATTCTTATCAGCAGAAAAAACTGTCTGAACTGTCCCCATCCCCTCCTAGTTGCTCATTTCCACTGCCCAGGGTATCTCCCCACACAGGCCAGTGCCATAGTTTCTGCAGTCATAAAGCCAAACATGATCAGAAACAAACAAACAAACAAAAACATCAGAAAGAAACCATCCAAACAATTCTTTCAGTACCTCTGGGAAAGCCACTGTCACTGCTTTACTTTGGATTAGAACTAAGAAAACTAGCTGCTCAGCATGAGCAGTACCCATCTCAGGTGTAAACATCTTGTTACTATATCGCACAGTCCTAGCAAGTACAGTTTGAATAAGTAAGTATTGCCAGTGTGAATGTGAAAGCTGCTTCAGATTACTTTAAGCACTCACATTTCTTTTCAGAATACTGATCATCTCAGTTTTCCACCCAAAGAAACCCAATTCTTCTTTTTCTCCCTTAAATTATTTAATCCTTGAGATGAACCACGGACAGAGAATATGGAAAAAGAAAAAAAGCTCTACCTACATCTGAACTTAAATCCAAAGGGTTAGTTGCTTTCAGAAGAGGTCCTACCAGCCACTTTTCTACACACGGATCACACACAGCTAGACCAGACATGGACTGGCAATCTACCCTGCAAGAAGGACAATAAAAAATGTTTCCCTCCCAGTGGCCACTAGACATGCTAAACATGTAGCTGGTCCGTAAGCAAGTTTAGACCCAACAAGACAGGTTAAATTCAGTGACATACAATAAACCAAAAAGCTCCTAAAGGTTTAGCTCCCCTAATGAGGTCCCAAAAATCAGGTGTTCTGCCTCAGTTTCTCAGGCTGTCCAATCTGCAGGAAGTATCTAAATTAAGTCATTTATTCCCACCAGTACCTCATTTTTGAGAAAGGCAGGACATTAGAACACTACTTCTCCCAGATCATCTGGACACTCACACTAGCAACTCCTGCCCAGTAAATGAGTCTGGACAAGCATCCCATGGAGGCAGACGAGTGGCAGCACAGGGCTTACAGGCTGTTCAGCGTAAGGCAGGTGCTGCAGCATTGAGCTCACAAGCTTCCAAGACTCTTGTTAGATTTAGCCTTGAATTACCAAAACCATGAAGGGAAAAAGCTGTATCACATACATGCAGAGATCAGGAAACCACTGCCCATTAACTTGAGAAGCACACATCAGGGCTCTCAGCAAACCATTCCTTGGGATGTGCTCCTATCCTACACATGCTGGTAGATGGAAAATAAAACAACAAATGGGAAACTAAATGACTACTTTGATCTGAAGAGGCAAAAAGCTGCTACTGTGAATTTTTTAATTCTATTAAGTAGATTGCCACAGAGTGGACAAACTAAAAAGCCAGCCCATTTAGAGCCAGTACATACCTTCAGGATTATCTACTAAAGTATCATTATCGTAAAACAGACAATGGGCATTCCCCAGCTTCTCTCCTAAACTCAGTTGTTAAGAATCTCTGAGGAAGGTGGAGTTGAGAGAGCCATTTGTAAGATTTTCTTTTTTGCCAAGATAACTTTCACAGTAAAATACTGCTTAATATTTACTGCATAGGCCTTCAGCTATATCAGTACCAGAATGCAGTTTCCAGTTAAATATTAAGTTCCCATGCGGAAGAGAATAAAGACACAGTATTGAAGGGTTTGTACAATTTTGTGCTGTAATTCAAAGCCAGAAGTGTCCTATAAAACCATTACATGATGTTAAAAATTTGAGCTGTATTGCAAATACACCAGTGGCTGACTTCTGCAACCACAGACTCATACACCGCCAGGTTGGAAGCCACCTTAAGGATCATCTGGTACAGCTGGTTTTGTCAAAAGCACAGGCTAATGAGACGACACAGCTCCCTGTCCAGCTGAATCAAGTGTTCAATGCCAGGGAATCCACCACTTCCCTGGGGAGATTATTCCAGTGGCTGCTTGTTCTCATGGTGAAAATAATTCCTATTCAGATTTATTTAATGGCTTAATCAGTGATAAAGGTAGAGCTATGCTCTAAAAAGGTGACTAGTCATGTCTTGAGAGCCATACTGCGTTCAGCGTGGGAAGGGTAACAGGCATGTGGAAGCCCACAGATCCAGGGCATTACAGGTGCCCACACACTTGCCCATGGAGGGCTCCCTGGACGGGGACAGGAGCGTTCTTCCAGCTGACACACCAGGAGAGAAACAGGAATCAGTTTTCACCACGTCCTCAGGGTACTTCCATGGACACCTCTGGGAGGGGCTCAGCATCCGCACTCATCCTGACCAGCTCCGTGCAGGTGAGACCGGTGTCCGTTTGCCAGCAGGGCTGAGGCCCGAGGCGGGCACGGGTGGGTGCGCACACACTGCGTCAACACAGGGCTTCGTGAGCCAACCCCCCGCGGTCCCCGCCACAAGCGGGCCGCTGCCATCAAGTACTGAGGGGTTCAGGCCCCAGCAGTGAGGACCCTGGCTCCCGCCTGCACCCGCCGAGGCGCCCTCAGCGCCTCACGGTCACTCCCTGCCTATGTTCCGCGCAGATCACACACTTAGAACGGAAAACGTTTGTCCGGCGCGCGTATAGTGAATGTGCCCCGCCCTCACCGCTCAGGTAACGACAGGCGCTCACCTCCCGCGCCCGGAGCCGTTTCACTTCCCTCAGCCACAGCGGGGGTGTGCGGAGGGCGGGATTAAACCCAGCCCTTTTCCTGCAGGCGGTTACGCTTCCCTCAACACGAGCCCCTCACCGCCGCGAGGAAGAGCCCGGCCCGGCCAGCGCTGTGCGCTGACGCACCCCGCAGGAAGCTGCCGGACGCCACGGCCGCTCCTCAGCGGGCGCCGAGAGGCCGAACCGGCTCCGCTGAGCGCGGGGCGGGCGGGGGAGCCTGCCCCCAGCTGACCCGCCCCGACTCGCCCCGCGCTGCCAGCCCAGCCCAGCCCAGCCGGGCCGTTCCTGTCCGCACCTCGGCAGGGTCCCCGCACGATGCGGAGCGGCGCAGATGGCTGCCGCCTGAGGGGGCGCCGAAGGTGGCCGCAGCACACGCCGAGGAGGAGGGTGGAGGGGCGGCAGCTGCAGCAGGTGGGTTCTTGGGCGAGGAGGGGCCGGCCTGGGCGAGGACTCGCCGCTCCCAGCCCGGGCGCCAGTCAGAGCGACCCTCTTCCGCCGGCTCCCTCTGGCCGGGAGGGGCAGACTCTGTCCCTGAGCCCGGCGGGGGATTCCGGGGGACGGGGAGGCGCTGACAGCCCTCGGCTGCCGGCAGGAGGGTGCAGAGGGGACAGCAGGCACGGGTCCTGTCCGCGCCGTTTTGTAGCGGGATTAACGCCGCTTCTGCTGCTCTGCCCGGGGCTTCGCACAGCCGACGAAAGGCCTGACCTGTGCACAGGTGACTTTGCGTTATGACAATAACAACATTACAAACGGGTTTGAGTGATCGCTTACACAGCATGACCCTGGTCCGTGTGCAGGTTGCCTCCTTTCTGCATATGCAAGTGCAGCATCCAATATATGAAAGGGAAAACACACACAGAAGTCTGGTTTAAGTTGTAGTGTAAAATGTGTTCGGTTTTAGACGGTGAAATGTGCAGATGAAGAGTGAAGTGCCAAGCCCTTGTAACTGAGTGCAGTGGATGCTTCTCGAGGTGTACTGCCAAGTACTTGGGGTTATTACTCCGCTTTTCAGGAGACACTGACTCAATGTTCCCCAGTTCTGGCAAGCTGGTAATGAAATGTAGGTGTCTGTTTAAATACAAGTGCATCAATGTTAACACAGATCCTGGCTCTTGGCTTCTCAGCTTTCCTCTGCTGTTGCTGAGAATGCTGGCACCATCCTGCTTCTCTAGTAAAGAGAAGAAAGCACATACAGCTTTGTCTAATATGTCTTGCTGACATACACGAAGCAATCCTGTGTTCATTTTCCTTAGCAATGAAAACATAGAAAAGAGTTATCATAAGGAAGTCCAAGTGGAAAAACATCTGTTTTGAGGTGTCTATCACGGTAGATCACACATTGCTGAAGGATGAACAAAAAGCCCAATCAACTAATGAATTGTGTGTGTGCTTTGGATCTGAAAAAAGAATGAGTTGGGTTGATGCTTTTTCTACTTTCAGGATATTTCTGCAGTCTTGTGTTCCAGAGCCCTGAAACACCCATCCCTCTGCCTGGATGGGCAGAAAGACACCCCCCACCCACCCCCACGCTTTCTAAAGGAAAGGAATACAGACTTACTTACTTTCTAAACCTTTCCTTAGGAAAGTAGCTAGAAAAATAATTTAGGTCTATGATGACCTTTTAACTCTTGAGAATGTATATCTGAAGAACATAAAATTTAGGCAGGACAACTTAATGATGTGTTAGTGAGCCTATTTACTGTTAATTAAGGAGCCTGGAAAATGCAGATGTAAATGTGGTAGTTGCTGTGATGGAGAATTAACTAATTGTTAGAGGTACCCAGGAATGAGCTTTTACAAACCTCTTTTTGACTTCCTAGGTATGAAGCACTGTGCCCTGTGATACTTCCTTTCCTGGTCCCGCCACTGGAGGATGGCTGCCATACTCTGTGAAAATTGCCCTGGTCAGCACCCCGACACCCAGGTCAACCAGCCGCTGGAGATCAGCTGCATGCTGCTTTTGATTATGTTTGGAAAAGTGTTCCTTGATTTCTTCATGTTGCAAGTTAAGAAAACAAATGCGAAAGTCAGTTTTATGGGATACTTCTGTGTTTCACTGGCGCTTCTTGATTTCACACTGCTGATGAGTATCTCTTTCATTTTTTATTTTGAAGACTTTGCGCTCTGGGGTGTGCGATTTACAAAGTACCACATTTGCCTGTTCACTCAGGTGATTTCTCTTACCTATGGTATTCTTCACTACCCAGTGTATCTTGTGGCTGGCCTGGATTATTACATGACTATAGCCCAAACTTCTCAGTTTCCTAAAAGAGGTCAAAGATTACTTTATATATTTGCTGTGGTCACTATATGGATTTCAGGTTTTTTTTGTATTCTGAAAGTTCCCACTATCTATGAAGAACTAGACACTCGGAACCATTTTTCTCCTTATTGGTGTCCCCTCTATGCCAGCCTGCAGAGTTACTCAGTCTCCTGTGCCATGGTGCTGCTTACAGGCACAGCTCTCCTAGCCTGTCGGAAGGAAGTTACAACCATGCTGCTATCTGTCAGGCTAGTATCCTTTGCCAGTCAGCCTGTTCTGATGTTCTCTTATGTGTCCAACAACAACAGTGCTTGCTTTAAGTGGCAGCTCCTGACCAGGCTCCTCATCTGTTTTCTTGGCACTTGGGCACCTTTTGTTGTTCTTCAAATCATCATTTTGTTTCTCGGTGCTCAGATTCCAGCCTACGTGGAGATGAACGTCCCCTGGCTGTACTTCATCAATAGCTTTCTCATTGCGGTAGCATACTGGTGTCGGTGTCACAATGTTGACATGACAGAGGAGATGTGGTCTACGGACCCATTTGTCAGCTGGAAATTCTGCTTTATCCCATTTAACAATGAAAGCACAGAGACAGCTGATAAGCCAGGCACAGTAATTGTAATCTGCTAATGAGCTGCTGACTGAAAAGACTGCAAATAAGTGCTGTGCAATAGAAGCCTGTCCTTACGGATTATACAGGAAACATCTCCAGAGCCACAGCCAATAGAGAAAAGTCCAGGACCCACCAACATTGCACCAGAGCCTGGGACACACTGGGTTCCAGTGGGCAGGGAACACCTGCCAGTTCAGAGAATTTGACTTGAATGTACAGGTTTGAGGAGACCACTACTTGTATGAAACAAGTTTTCAGATAAACCTCAAGTTTATGACTAGGATTGAACACTTCCTTTAACTGAAACGAGCTCAGGTTTTGTAGTACAGAATGCAATAAAGCCTTCTTTAAAGCTGGAGCCCTTATATCCATGTTACATCCCCATGTTAACCTACCGTCAAAGCTTCAAACAACTGATGTGAGTTTTTGAAGCATATTTTCATGTAGAAGTGTGACTTTTTGTCAGTTTGATTGAAGTTAAGGGTTGTTGTCTGTTTAAAGAGAAATAAATTGTTTCAGTTAATGCAAAGCAACTTCTACAGCTATAGGAAAGGTGGTGACATTTTGTTGTTTCTTTGCTATACCTATAGATAAATACATGCCCAAGGTTAAAGAATGGCCAAAATTATTTTAAACTAATTAGATTTGAAGTGGGAGTACTTCAGTAGGAGAAGAATGTGTCAGGCTTCTAGCAAAAATACCATTAATTTTCAAATTCTTCAGTTCTATGAAGGTCTAATTTAATTTTGTAGAACAGAAATAAGTGATACACAACCAAAACAGACAAATGGAAGTAGCATTTATTTCTGAAGCACTGAAGTCACAATACAATGTTGTATTGAAATAGAAACTGTAAGCAACTGATGCTGCAGGTTGGTTAATCCTTCACCCAGACCCATGGGGAACAATGGTATCACACAAGAATACTCATTAAGAAAAATCTGCAGGTAACAAAAGGTGCAATTACAAGCAAGTTCAAGCAGCACAGTATAAGGTGCTTTGTTTCAACTTCTGTATGATGGATTTATCCATTAAGAAGCAGATTAAAGAGATTTCACTTCTACAGGATTGTAACAAAGGATAGAATCTAAAATTCATTCACATGCCAGTTGGTAATAGGAAAGTGCTTTTTTTTACAAAAGAAGATTCCCAAAGTGAAGATCCTGTTTTTTACATAGTTCACCGTGTGCTCTTCAACTGTAAAATTTCATTTTGGGGTTATAATGTACATTACTGTGTATCAATTATAGACATAAGATTTAACTGTAGAATTTTGTGCTCCATGGGCTAAAATTTCCTATAAAAGAATACTCCAGTATATCACTCCATAAGAATGCCCTATCACATCTCAGTCATGTATTAGTCTTGCAGTTTCGCAATATATCAAAGTCCAGTTGCCATTCTGATTTATTACTTCACCCCACATAGTGCTTCTTTCACCCACAGTCTGGGGTGAATTTCTCTGAGGTTTCTGTGATGTCACTTTAAGCAGTAGAAAATGGGCTGGGTAAAATCTGTTAAAAAGGCCATAGAAAGGATAGAAAATGATCAAAAACTGGATTTTAAAACTAGCGCAGTAGGAGGAGGCGATGCTTAGCAACATAGCTTGGAGTGCTTGGCACCACAGATTATTTCATCCTTTATGCTGGAAAATCTATTTGGAGGAAATTCTGTGTTAAAAGCAGGTAAGCATAGACAATGTTAATGTGAAAAAGCAACCTTAAGCAACTGCTGGCCGTTCTCTCAAATTGCAATTGCTGTTATTTAGCACTTGAGATGCTATAGGATAAGCCATGTCTAAACACATTTTTTGACACAGCATTTTTTCATGTTTTGTATGAACTGGACACCCACTGAAATGGGGTTGACAAAATATTTATAAAACCTAGTTCCATTTAGAAACTGGCAAATACCTCAAATACAGCAGTGCACCAGGCACTGCAGATTGTGAAATAACTAATCCCTACAGACCTGACAGGTAAGGGAAAACTCCTAATTTAAAATTAATTTAACACCAGATGAAGGCAAAGTTATTTTCAGGAACACTTCAGATGCTTCTGTTTTGTGTGGTTGGTCTCACCGTCCTGATTCATTAAGGTCTGTGGGTGATGCACTTCTTGCAGTTCCAGCTGGGTAAGGCTGCTGACATACTTTATTTATCAGTGTGGGTTGGCCTATCAACCCCTAATTAAAGTTTACACAACCCCGTCTATCTTGCTGTGGCAGAACTCCTATAGCTGCTGCAGTGCTTCTAAAGCCATTTTAAGGTTTTAAAATCTTAGCTTTTACAGGGAAGACGTAACATGCAGCCAAAGCAAATATTAACATAGTGATGTTACAGAACTGTATCACTATCAAATCCATTCTTCCATACTCTTGGGGAAGAAGAGCCGAAGAGAAAACCTTGGCTGTAGTGGCACTGCAGGTCCTCACATAGCATCCAACTGTGGTGCCTAAGCCTGCTAAATAGCTATTTCAAAATATAACAGCAACTTTCCTTGTAAGCCACTTTTATCCTTGATTTTTTAATGGAGGGGGATCCTTCCTAACAACTAAGTCTTTTCTCTGTACATTTTCTTTTGTCTGTTTCTGGGAAGTCTGAAGAGTGAACCCTGAGTCCAGCCATACAACCATAAACCATTACTCTCTACAACAGGATCTCAGTTTCATTGCCAGACAGAAAGAGGAGAGAAGCCATGCTAGGAAACAACTACAGCCAGCCACTGAGCTATCTCCTCAGTACATTACTTCTTGTGCTGAGCCAGTATCTAATGGCCTTATACGATTCAAACACTTTAGTCTTTAATTCTTATAGGATTATTTGATATTAATGGCAACAGCAGCTGAAATCTTAACCCTTTGTGAGGAACTTCTGTACTTTCCTCCTATGAAGGATCCCTTAAAAAAACCCCCACACATTAATGAGATATTCTATGTCTCTTCAACCCTAAATAGAAGTATTTGGCACTCATTAATAAATCCTTTCTTTCTTTACACACATCTTTCCTGATCAATACTGGTTTGTTAACACTGTGACACAAAGACTACTTAAAAAGGAGGCTGGGTCTGCATAATACCTCGTTGTTCTTTCAAACATCCAACTTTGCACAAAGCTGCCAGAGGACAGCAGCATCCTGGCTGCTAGCACACTACCCAGGCAGCTGAGGACAATGCACAAGCCTTACCACAGGCTGACTTGGCTTCACCAACAAAGTAGATATGCTTCATGAATCAGTTATATTTGTGCTTTAGCCTAATCCCGTAATAGCAAGCATATGTGCTTTGGTACCTACAACCAATACTGTAAGCCTTTTGACAACCCTACAGAACACTACAGTGCTTTTTACACCCAATTAAGATGCTCTAAGTGTTACATGTTACACTTTAACGATACTTATCATCACTATGAATGTACAGTTCTACTGAAATTATACTTTCTAGATGGAAAAAAATTCCCTTTAGATCTCCTTTTTCTAGCTCCTTATTGTGCACAGTAATTTGGGATAATTCAGCAGGAAGCTTTAACATTTTTTAACTTGAAATCTGTTTATAACACTGACTCCTGGAATTGTGCTTTGGAAAAGTCAGATCAGTGGTTACAAAAGGTAGACTGTAAGCTTACTACATACCTCCTATTTCCTTCTTTTTCCTTCCACATTACTGTAAGTGATCAGTAAATAACACCCACAACTTTAAAGGGAATGAGCAAGCATGTGCAAGTTTCAATGCAGAGGTTACACAAACCTATAAGTGGCTTTAGGATGGGGTCTTTAATACACGTGGCAGTGCCGAGACAAGTAGAGGACAAAACACTCCAACCAACATAGCTGACACCCATCAAGGCAAAAATCATGTTCCGAAATTAGTTCACTACAAGCAAGTACTGTACCCGACACTGAAATTACACATTTATAGCTTTGTTCATACCTGTTCTACTTGTCATTCAACAGAAACAGTATCTTTAAATGAAAATACTTTAAAATGTTAGTTTCTCTCCATCTCAATATGGGTAAATGTTTAAAAGAAGTATCCTACATAGATTCCTTTGCAGAGTCATTATCTGCAACCTAGAGCAATTTATGAGTAAACGTCTAGATACAGAGCTGTCACTTAACCAAATATATGCTAACAGGACATTTCTATGCAATACTGCTAAGAAAATAACCCTGAAAGCGTTTATACACATGCATAATTTTGATATGAGTAGTTTCAATACAATCAGGAGAACTACTTATGGTATAAATTATGTTAATGTCTAATTATTTGCAGAACCAGGACTTGCAATACAGCTGTCATTGAATTCTTTGATCACATTTGTCAATGCGTAAGAAACTTCTTAAGCTACTGAGCTATAAGTTTGTGTATCAGTATTGTGGTATTAAGATGAGAAGTGTCATCTGAAACTGGCAGTAGTTTTAACTGTTATGCCAGGCAGTGGCACACTACACCCAGCAACGTCTTACTACATTAAAAAAAAAATATTGTTTTATATGTGAACCATTTCCTTACAGCTAACATCAAGGTAAAGAAGTTACACAACAGCTGTCATAAACCCACTTATTCCATTCCTTTCCTCTTCCTGCCACACCTGCAGTTGGAATGGACTGTTCCATCTGTTCTACTCAGAAGGCTGGATTCCCACTCGTGATTTGTCCAAAAAGAAGTTGGGGGGAAAAAAAACTGCTTTCAAAGGAAAGAAATGGGAAAATAGATGCCTGCAGGATATAAACTTTCTGAGATATCTCATTGACACAAATCCAGCAAAAGTTTTACGCTCCCCATCAACACAGCTTCATTTCTGGAAAAAAAGTATGCTGGATTAACAGGTAAAGGATGGATTTATGATGCAGTCTCCTTGAAAACCCTGGTGATCCAAGAGAAATGGCAGTTTAGTTTGGCAAGATGGTTATTTTTTACTCTCAATATAAGCAAAGATGATAAAAGTCTTATAAATGTGCCAAATGTGAGGCAATGGGGGCTGTCTGGGAGAACTTACCCTTCACTGGCAATGCTTGTTTTTGAAGCAGCAGCAGCCTGGAGCTCCCAGAGGAGGTGGCCAAGCTTCCCTGTCAGAGTGCTCTGCTTCTGCTGCAAAGCAGGGTTGCTGAGTGATAAAAACTAGATTAAGCAGAGGAGTTTGCATACCCAATTTTGCCTATTCAGGTGCATTTCTTTAAAAACCAAAATAAACTCTGAAGCCAAGCCAAGTGTAGTAGTTAAAACTCCTGGAAGAAATCCTTACAGTCACATTCTGCCTAGTGCTCTGCCAATGGGTTTTACCCTGAGCTAATTCTGCAGTCTGCATTAAGGAGCTGGTTAGGAGGGAGACCAGTGGTGAAAAAGGGAAAAAAACATCCAACATACCTCCCTTTTAAGCTAAGATCCTACAGCATCCTGTAGTCCTTTCTATAGGAATTGAAATATTGCAGGGATTAGCACAAGATGTAGCCCACAACAGCAGCAGTCTGAACACAGAAAACAAACCCCCAGGAAATAAAGCTAACAGAAAGGATTTCTTGTAGACACACCCAGCAGAAGCAAGTGTTAAAAAATACTCAAAATCTGCAATACTTCTTCTTTTGCAAGAGGGCCTAGCTTAATTTTTGGGAAAAGCCATGGGAAATGGTCCCATATGAACAGAAACAAGAGATTGGTATGTACAATGGTTCTGGAGGAATATCACTCCAAGTATTGTATTGCTTTTCTGAGTAAACTCAAAAGCTTCTGATGTAGACTTCAGTTGCACTTGAGTTTTCCAGTGTACTTGCATGTACAGCTGTGGTATTTTTTAAAACCAGTTTTACTGATACAGCTCTACTGGCTACCACTCCAACACCCATGCATTTCTATCAGTAGAGGTAGGTGCAACTGTGTCTGCTTGTAAGTTCCTGTTTAATGCCAAAATCAGTGAAGGAGAAAGCACTTTCAGGATACATAAGGCCCACATTCTTAGTTGCTGCATTCATGAATATTTAAAGCATAACTCACTATCTGTGGCTCTCCCAAAACCACGGGAAGTGTAGCGTACCAGAAGAACCAGAACAGATGTGCATTAATCAGGTCTACTCTGAGCTCCTGGCATCTGTCAGTGATTACGTCCAAGAGTTGTACATAAGCACTAGGTCTCCTGAAGC